GCTCCTGTCTGCCTTCGGGGATGACTACAGACTTGGTGGAACTCAACCAGAAACTGCATTCTGGTGAGGTAGAGTCAGGTCAGTTCAGGTCCCCAACTTGCCCCAAGTTACATGCATTAGGAATATGTTCATTTCAGTACACACATGAAGTTAAACTGACTCAAAGTGAAAAGCTGTAGTTTTAACATGAGGTACTGATGAAACTCTTGCACCAAGACCTCTTCTCTCCCATTTAGCCTAATCATGTACAAGAACTGCAAGATTGGTTACACGTGATAGATTTTTCAATCTATAAAGATTATAAAAATCAATAAAGATTTTTGAAACAAATATTTCAACTGAGTACATGTACGTGTATTCCAGAATGACTTCTCCAGGAAAAAAATCAGAGCATGGCTCTGTGCACATGCTTTCACAAACCAAATGGATTGGTGGACTTTATTAATAATGATTTCATAGTCTGTGGAATATAATATTGCAGCAAATATCACAGTGCACAATGCTGTGTAGAGTGCACATAGTTTTGACTGCCATATTTCTGCTCATGCATTGAGGAACAACTTCAGCTATGTTTTAAAGAGCTTATTTGCAGAAAAGAGAAGATATGGTAACCTGGGCAGCAAGGTGCTCTGCTAAGCTTTACATTCTACAATGAAGCTTCCAGTGCTGTCTTCTCGTGTACTGTGATCTGAACTGAAACCAAGGTAGCTATACACATTTCACAACTAAGTGTCACAGTGTAGTGTGTTTTTAATGATGAAACTTAGCCATAAAAATCAGAGGTCTTATAGTTAAAGGCTTAAGAAAAATGATCATTCTGAAAAACAGTGTGACCAGGTGTGGAACAGGTGTGATCTCTTTATGAAAAAAATGAACTAAATTTGGCTCAGAATCTGCACTGCAACTTGGAGTGCAAAGACTACGGGTAACCAGAATGCCTCACCCACAATGGGTGGAGAAAACATTTCTTCTTTCTTTTCTCCTTCAAGGCCCTTCAAAGTCAACAACTATGCACTGTATACCATGATGGATGCTGAGATAAATGCGGTGATTACTAATTTGTTAAAACAGGAAGAATGTGAGATACAAATCTTCACTAGAGGAGGCTCAGACTGAATAGTAAGAGAAATTTCTTTATCATAAGAGGGATTAAACACTGAAACAGGCTTGCTAGAGCGGTAGTTGGCTTCATGCCTTTCAGAAGCATTTGGGTAATGCCTTCAGTAACGTTCTTTCAGTACTGGTTAGCCCTGAAGCAGTCAGGTAGTTGAATGCCATGATCTTGGAAGGTCCCTTCCAGTCAAACTATCCTAAGTTACCATCCTGGCCTGCATCAGAAATTTCAACACAAAAATTCCCAACTACAAGACAAGAGTTGGAAGGTAGACGGTTCTTTACGAAATCGTACAACTTCCTCTCAAAATGATTCAAGCAGGTATAATGTTGATGGCTTTGCTGAGAATTACTAATGCAATATAGGTTCTGCATGCAATGGTGAAAATTTTTCAGCATTCAGATGAATAATAAATGCCTAAAATGCTCTCCAATGACCAATGCAAATTTTGTACCTCTGACATCTACCTGAATTTGGATTTCCAATCATGAGCAAAATCTCCCACTTGTGATGTGCAAACCAATGTATGTCAATGTTTCATATGTTTCAGCTTTGCTGTATTGTGCTCTGATGAGTAAGAACCTTGTACTTTTCATGTTTTGCAATAATTTCAGCTCTCTCTGTCAGTAAGAGAGATTCTTTGAATAATGTATGCAATGCAAAAACGAACAAGGTTTAAATAAAACACTGAAGTTAGAAGGGGAAAGGAGAGGAAAGACTATCTCCAAACTGATACATATCAGATTCATTTTGCTGACCTACAACAAAGTCCTTGTGCTTAAACAACCTGTTTCATGTGCATTCACACTTAATTGTGCATAGGCCTTTTTAAAGAAAACATAAATGTGCATGACAATCATCAGAAGACAGATATTAAATGGAATATACAAAATTATTCCAGTTCCAAAGGCACTTCTGAATGCATACTTGACTATATGTTTATACTGAATGAAAAGAAAAAATACCCCACAGTTTTCCAACATTGCAGTGGGTTACCCACCAACATACCCTCCATAATCCTTTGAAATAGTCTGTTTAGGGTAACACATCCCTAACACATCCAACGAGCCAGGCGTTGAATCTTCACAAGTAACCTCTGTGCACGTGGAAACAGATCCAGAGGTAAGTGGTCATGTCTTAGACCTTCATGCATGAACTCACATGAATATTCAGTTCAGCCCAGCAGCTCTAATGCTTTTGTACTTCGTATCTGGAGACGTGTGCACAGAGGAATTTTTCTGTACAAATGACAAGCCACTGTTTAATAGTGGTTCAGGAAAGAGTTATCATTTTATATTACCATGAAATCATTTAATTCTGAGCTGATGGTGGGGGTTCTTTAATTAGATTAGAAAACCTCACACATCTGTGCTTTAGAAGCCTCTGTCAAGCCAGGAAACTCAATCACATGGAAGTCAGTGTCCTCCAGCTATCAGACAATTGATTTTTGCAGGATTCTGCTCATATTTAGCTTAAAGGACATGTCATATGTTTATTCACTTGTCAGTCACTTTGCCTGTGTTTCATTAGTAGAACATTTGTTATTTAAAATATATTCCTCAGTATTATATGAAAAATTAGAAACAGATTTTAGAATGAGACTGCAAAATGTAAAGTAAGCACCAAGTTGGACTAAAAATACATGTTGATTTAAGTGGGAAGCACAAAGCTGAAGAGGCCTGTAGGGTTATGTCTATTTAATATAGTTACAGAGTTATAGTAGTATACACATATATAAACATATACATTTATTTTCTTTCTTTCTCTGCCTCCCCCTATACTGTACAGATTTATCATTCTCTGAGTTATTAAATTCTTTAGAAATAAAAATGGGTTCACTTTAACGAAAAAAAAGAACAAGGTTATGAATCACTATTTCTATAGACTGTAGCAAATAGAAGGGGACATGTTTTCCTCTGTTAAGATACTCAAGCTGAAATAACCTGAGGTGGTTGGAACAAGAGAAGAATCTGCTGTGGATCATTGAAATTAGGGAAAGTTTCGGACAAACCCTTGTTTGAATCTAAGGCATTGAAGTCTGACACACAGAAGTGGTTCAACTTTAGATAATCTTAAATGTATGCAAATCAGAATTAATTCGCTAGAACTCCAATGGAAATTCTCCACAATACCCTTAATCCAAAAAGTAACAATTGCCTCTGAAATTATTTGGCAGAAGTAGATGGGTAGGCAGAATCTGAGATAATTGACTTTATCTAAAGCTACTGATTTCAATATTTTTAGTCCCTTCCTCCTTCACTAAAAATGAAAGTTTAAAAAAAGCTGCCATGTCATTTGTCTTCACAGAATATGAAATCGGCGCCTGCAAACTTGACACGCATTGTAATGTTTTCTCAATGAACTACACCTGCACACATCTGATGCCTCCCAGTTTCAAAAGCCTTTCTGAAATGCTTTCTTCTCATGGAATTTGATATTGATTTTCATGCTAAAGACAACTAATACATTGCTTAATATAGAATTCACACTTAATGGGACATCAGTCTTTCCTGCCTGAAATGAATGGAGCCATTTTGGCAGCTCTGAAGCTTTTCCTGTTAAATAAGGTGGCAAGGTCATCTGAAACTTATAGTACTGAAGACTCATATAAATAAATTTAGTGCACATTCAATAAATTATATATGAGAACTGCACAGTGCTTGGCATGTTTACATATTAAAAGATGGCTGTGAGAAGCTGGGGAGAAACCCAGAACATATTTTAAAGGCACAGTGGACAGGAGGACCTTCTCCAGCTCATTTCTATTTTAAACTCAATAAGCAATGCCACTCAGGGCATCTATATCCAGAGGCAATTTGTTCCTGAATGAAGAGAAGGGGTTCAAAAACTTAAAGGCCACAAAGGAAAACCCATAAAAATGAATTCTGAAACACGAACGTAACGTTCCTAACAGCCCTCAGCTTTGCCACACTGTATCCCACTGTCTTATGTAATAAAATAAATTCCTCCTTATCAGCCTGACATACGTGAAGTTAAATAGAAATGATGCTCTGCTGCTCTCCGAGACCAAGCACTATTCAGCATGTGTTTCAGCTAAAGACCCCGAGGTGATCTAAATGTAGGAAATTCACTTAATTATAATCTGTTAAAAATAATAATAATAAAAGATTAACTGTTATTGTTATTTGGTAAGGGCATTTCATTTTCTGTTTCCCTTTCATGGCGTATGTGAGCCTGTGTGTGTAGAAAATATATAGTAGGAAGAGAATATTTGTTCCAGTTGAGGTGGTCTGTGAAATCAAGTAGATCAGATACTAACTTGACTTGGCACCAATGTATGGATGCATAGAGACATATCCACAGGATGTATGCATTACGAGATGATAAGAGACATTTACAACCTAGAATATAAGAGCAGGGCTGCCTCAAGTGACATCACCAGATCAACTGCAGCGTCAACCGACTCAGATATATAATCCTGCACACCGCTGCTTCCCTATCTCCTTTCCAAGCATTAACAAAGCATTCATGAGCATACACATTCTTGTATATTTCCAAATACATGCAAGGCACGTCATATCCGAACACGAACAAGAGCAACAGTGGGGTTTATGGATGGATCGAGACATACATAATTTTTCTTTACGACAACAAAATTCATCTCCATAGAAACCAGAAAGCGAGAAACTACAGGAATAACACTAAAGTAAATGTCACATCAGGTTAGTGAGCACAAGGCAGGCGAGGGGACTGTGCTCCAGTTAGGACTAATAAGGACTGCTGCCCCCCCTGCTCTTCTGCTACAGTATCTACACCAAAAACAGACTTTCTGCTGTATTTCCAATGCACGATAGCAATGTGATTTCCTGTTATTTTCATTGCAGTTCACCCGTAAGCTGGTCAGATCAATGGCACGTTTACTTACAGGCATTCGTTACAGCGAAGCTGTTAGCTGTTTCAATGTTGTCTACATGAGGAACCAAATTAAAAGGTGCTTCGGAGGCATTGGGGCTGGTGTTATGAAGAAAAATTGCTAATCGAAAAGCAGTATATTCCTGATCTGTGTTCCTGATGAAGAGACCACCTACAAGAAAAAAAGAAAGAAAAAAGAAAAAAAAAAAATAGCAAGACGCAGAGGAGGCAGGGTGAATTGCTGGCAAGCTACTGTCTTGTAACACCAAACTGACTCTCCCAAAGCTGCACAGTAAGGAAAGTCCTAAGACTTTAATGGGCAAGGAACTAATCACATTCATAATCACAACCGCTGCCTTTAAATCACTGTTCTCAATCGATATTCACCACCCCGACGCTTTATGCTTCTTTCCGACTTCTCGGTTTCCAGCCTTTCACATGTAAATACCCCGATTTGCCATGATTACAGTGACCTTTGGAAGTGTTTAGCCTCCATCTCTCTGCGACTGAACACACTGCTAAATCAGCTACTCAGCAGCCTCTCACATGAAGTGGCGGGCTGATTAAGGGGAACGATGCTTTCCGGATTAAAAAAAATATCCACTCTGTGTCGGATAATCTGCACTAAACAGGAATATAATTAACTTTGCTCTTCCACAGCCATGTGCAGGCAGGGAGCCGCTCAGCTCTGCTAGCAGCATCTCCACAAGTCCACGGGCAATGATGCAGCGATGGAGATGAGCTGGAAGGAATTCAGATAGCTGCGTCCCATCCGAAACGCGCCCGGACGGATGGAAGCGGGAGGCGATGGGAAAAGGGTGAGGAGGGGGCACAAAGCCTAAGCGGAGAGGCTTTCAAAACCCCAAACTTTCCAACTACGGGAAGGGAAGGCAGGACTGCCTTTCAGCCCCATGCCTACGCTACCGCAACCTCAGCGCAAGGAAATGGGAAGCCGGAGGGGGCCGAAGCAGCCCAGTAGCATCTCCCCGGGTGCTCTCCCCTCCTGCCGACTCTGTGCACCCCGGGGCTGGAATGAGTTGGGCAGAAGATGAGCATCCTTCCTACAGCACGCAAACACACACACACACACACACACACACGCGCGCGCGTACGCACACATACACAAATGCACGCGGGCTGTCAACGAAGGCAGGGAAATGGGATGGTGGTGGAGGAGAAAGCTGCAAGCTGCCTTCAGAGCCGCCTTCCCAACTCACTTCGCCAAGGCTCGAACCCCTGAGCACCCGCACACAGCCCAACGCAGCGCTTACCTATTTGCACGCTGCTAGGAAAAGCTCCCATTGCTAGTCCCCAAAAGCCAGAAAACAACAAGACAAGCTGTCTGCAAATTATCCTCATCTTCTCTTTTGCCTCTCTCTCGCCTTCTCCCGCTCGCTCGCTAGATGCTGCTCAGAGAGGCATTGAGGACGAGGCGGCTACAAACAAAATCAAGAATTTAAAAATAAAAAAAATAAAAAAGAGGGAAGAGGGGGAGAAAAAGAGAGGTTTTCTCCTTTCTTTTTCTTTTTTTCTTTTCTTTTTCTTTCTTTTTTTTTTTTTTTTTTTCTTTTCCAATTTTTATTTTGCCGTTGCTTTAGGATTTGCTGCCTATTCTCTGCCGCTCTGCTTCTCTCCCCGCAGCCGCCGCAGTTTCAGCAAGCCATCCCGCCGCGCCGGGCTTTTCCCGCAGTCTCCATCGCCGGGGAGCGGTTTGTGTCCGGCTGCGAGCGATGCACATGCAGAAGATGGTGGTGAGTTTGGCGGCGGGGGGGAGCGGCTGGCGGCGGCGCGGCGCGGGCGGACATGCGCCTTGCTCCCCATGCCCCCCCCCCCCCCCCCCCCCCCAATCCCCACCGCCGCCGCCGCCGCCTCCCGCACCGCCGCGGGCGGACAGCGGCCGCGCACGTTCCGCGCCCTTCCGCGCCCTCCGCGGAGCCGCCTCGCGGAGTCCCTGCGCTTTGTAGACGCGCCCCGCAGCGCCGCGGCAACGCAGATGAGACCTTTCTGGTTTAATTTTTTTTTTTCTATTTTCTTAATTATTTTATCATTCTTTATTTTCTTTTCCGCATATCCGGAACTTTGCACCGCGGGGACAGAGCAGAGGGGCCAAGGACTAGGAATGCCTCATCTCGCTGGGCTGCTGCAGCCCGGGGCCGCTGTCATCAAGCAGCGGTTGTTGTTAATGAAGGTGGCAGAGCGCATCCACCTGCACTGAGCTGCGGAGGTCGGGGGGAGGGGGAGCGTCCCGACAGGACCCCCCTCTGTCGGGGTTTGCGGCAGAGATGGGGGCGAGGGCTGAGGATGCGCTCAGACCTAGCGGGCACCGCTGCCGAAAGGAGGGAGCGAATGAAAGGAAAACTTCCCTGCTCCTCCACCTCCCTCTTATTCATTTATTTTAACCTTCGGTGGGAAAAAAATCACAGAGCTTTTTTTTGCAACCAAACACTTGCCGTTGTGTTTGAAGCCTTGGAAGTTCCGCCAAAGCGGCTGCCAGGGGTCTGGGGAAATGGCAGTTAATAATTAAAAGACGCGTGTAATAAATGATAGGTAATGAAGTCATCCCAAAATAGCTGTGTGTCAGAGATGGGAATTTCTGGTTTTACCTGTGGCTTTGCAGAGATTTCTGCACAGAACAATCAGATCCTCAGTAAATTAATATTGAAATGTTAATTGGCAATATGGAAGAATATCGATTTTTAAGGTGAACTTTGTTGGTTTGTGTTCAAACGCATTTGTTCCAAGACCAGAACTCTGTCTGATTTCACCCAGGCTTCTTTTCTTGCCATATTTCTGTACCCTAGCGGGAAGAAAGAAATCCCCTTGAATTGCTGTGGAGGGTGACAGTGATTTCTGAAGAATGATGCAAAGACTGAGCAAAGAGCACTGAAAACAGACGCATAAAGCTATTTGCATGGCATGTGCACCTGTGTGTGACTGTGTGTCTGTGTGTGTTTTTGGTAGAGTGTGGTGTTCCTGCAAATAAATTACTCTTTGAGAGATTTCTTCACAGGTCAATGGTAAACAGACTTCATCTGCACATTGTGATACTCATTCCTTTATTTTTCAGTAGGTCTTCAACTTTTCTTTATTTTCTCACCACATATTCCCATCTGTCTCTGAGTCTGTCGACTCGTGCTGCCTGTTATTTACCAATGGCTTTTTGTGACCTCTGGTTTTGCTCTTGCTTGTCTTTTTCTTCTTCCTGCCTGCCAAGAAATCTTTGTCTCTCTGAATTCTCCCCTAAGTACAGTTCTCCCTTTTTTTCCTCATCCTTCAGCATTCAAATTTTTGACTTTGGAAATCAAGGGAAAATATAGTAATAAAGATGGAGTAAAATTTCCATTCCATAGCAGCTGAATGATTATTCACTATTAGTAGCAAGTAAACCTGGAAACACTGAGTTGACATGTGGATTTTATGGCACATATCATAGAATCATTTGAGTTGAAAGGGAACCTTAAAAGTCACCTAGTCCAATTCCCCTGCAATGAACAGGTGAACAGGGACATTCACAGCTCGATCAGGTTGCTCAGAGCCCCATCCAGACTAACCCTGAGTGTGTTCAAGGATGGAGCATCCACCACCTCTCTGGGCAATAATGCCAGTTCCTCACTGCCATTATTGTAAAAAAGCGTTCTGCTCATATTCAGCCTAAATCCTCCCTCTTTTAGTTTGAAACCGTTTCCCCTTGCCCTGTCACAACAGACCCTGCTAAAGAGTCTGTCTCCTTTTTTCTTGTAGCTCCCTTTTAGATACTGTAAAGCCACTCTCAGCTCTCCCCAAAGCCTTCTCCAGGCTGAACAGTACCAGCTCTCAGCCTCCGTTGTAGAAGAGGTGTTCCGTTCCACGGATCATTTCTGTGGCCCTCCTCTGGACGTGCTCCTGCAGGTCCATGTCTCCCCTGTACTGAGGATTCCACATCTGGATGCAGTACTCCAGGTAAACAAGATAAGGATTTTAGACTCACAGCCGTTGCATTGGCACAGTGAGTTTCTGCCTATCAGCTGAACTAAGGAGTATGTTTTATATCATTTTCAAGCATAATGGTAACATGTTAACTTAAATTTAATTCGAGAATCTGCAGGAGACTATTTCATACAATGGTCTAATTTGAAGTGACCAAGAGTCTCACTCAGCAGTTCCTACATAAAATCTGTAATTTTTGTTGGAGTAAAACCATATATTTTAGCAAAACATCCAATCTTGATTTAAAGACTTCAAAAGACAGGAAATCCATCATTTTCCTGGGTAAGTTGTTCCAGTTGTTACCTACTCTCATTCGTTAAAACCCTCATTTCCTTAGCTTTGGTTTCTAATATTTGTGATTAGAGATAAACCCAGTGTTCCAGTAGCAGTATCACTCAGAGCTGTTCCTGGAGATGGTCCCATCCTCTTCTTGATAGTGCCTTGAGTAGACATCTCAGGATCATTCCTGAGTTCTGGAAAGCAGAGGAAAAAGAAACAGGAGGATACCACCATATAGCTGTTTTGTTTAAGTGACACAAGGGAAGAAGAAGAGACAGGTTGCAGTGTCAAAGGGCAAAAGTTCAGTTCAGCAGAGTTTGGCAAAAGCATGGTAGATGACCGAGTATTTGATCACAGTGTTTACCTTTCAGAAGAGCTGGGACAGGAAAGGCAAGAGGGATATAATCAAGATTGAGGTGAAGAGTGAAGAAGGGGAGGTAGGTTTTTAAACTGCTGCTGCCCATCCTCAACAGGTCACAGGGGAAGAGCTCATGGGTCAAGATAGGACAGGGAGACCACTAACCAGTCACTGTCATAGTCAATGCAGACTTGATTTGTGTAAAAGTAATTTAGTAACAATTAAAAAAAGAATTCTGATGGTGAGAAATGATTGAAAAGTGTTTTACTGAATATTCAAGCAGTAAGGATGGGATGGACTAGAAGGGATCTATTGGCAGTGAATGCTTTCTTTGCCTTAGGGCACGTAGCAGCTCTTACTGGCCTTGCCTGGAGGCCACTGCTGGAGAGGACTCCTTTTTCAGAACATCAACTGAGATGCTGACTATCTGCTGCAGCACCTGAGTGAATCCTGCTGCAGAAGGCGTATAAATACAATGCAGTTTCCCTCTGGCAAGGATTGAAAACATTTAGCTGTTTTCTTCATCAGACAGACGTGTGCTTGGAGTAAATATGTTTATGAAGAGACCTGGAAGGAAGAGGAGGAATATGAGAAGATTTTTGCTATAGAAGAAATGAAGGCTGTATGTTAGCCAGGAGGAGTAAAACTACAGAGGCATCCACCTTATGGAAATCCCAGAGAAAAGCAAGATATGAAGTAGATACAGATACTTTGTCATATGGACAGAACTTTAATGCATATGTACTGATAAATACCCATATGCTGAAGTAGCAACTTTGATTCATATTTATACATTCTTGCATTCAACATATAAATCCCAGCTACGCAATCTGTTAAGAAGGCATGTTGTTATGGTTTTGAAGACATGTAACTTTGTGAGGGAGAGGAGGACTTGGCTGAGAAAGGCATAAAGAAGCTGTACAATTACCAAGGATAGGTTGAGAATTAGGAGTGTGGAGATGATGAAAGAGGAAGATAAGAGTAAGAGACACAGAAACAAAAATCCATCACCACTCCTCCCAAGCAGATTCTAGGTGCACTGAGGCAGTGACAGCATGAAAACAGAGAACATCCTCCCTCTGCCCTGTGTGCCAGTGCTGCTGAATGAGCTTCTTCTGAGTAGGCAAATGTCTGTGCCATAAAGGCTCCCCATGGCACAGCCATCTGGGCAGAGATCAATCTGGAAACTAAATTCAGTCATTTAGATTAGTCTTGCTTCAAATATGACTTTCATGATGTGGTCAGCGTGAATGCTTCAGCAATAAAGAAAACAATTCGCTCAGCAACCTGTCCTTTCTTAGTCCTTTTGTGCCTTATGATATGTTGTAGCTCACACATACCTGTCAGATAGATCCATTAGACTGTAAACTCTGGGACAAAGATATTTCTTCTGTGAAGTGCTTAGCACTTCTGGGCAATAAAAAGTAAATAAAATACAAATCATTCATCTAGAACTGTTTACACTCCACCCTTTGGCATCATCTCACATCACCTCTTGAAGCAATACCAGCAGTCATGAATAGATAAGCAGTGCACCAGAACAAGGCAGTTAGCCAGATAGGTTTCTTTCAGTCACAGAACTCATTTTCAGGAAATTGCCTTAGTGCTTTCTTGCATTTTTGTTCTTATTGACTTATTTTTTATTCATCTAAATGCTTGGGTAGCCAGAACAGGTAATTATTTTTAATAGTACTTTTCATTAACAGTGTTATATTGATATTGAGGCAGGGGTAGTAAAAATATTTGGCTTTGAATGCGT